CAGGTTCTAGCAATAAAATGCCATGTTCAGAGGGCTTGACACATTAGTGAAAGCTCCTTATCATAAAATCTTTTTGGCCCTTTAATTTCCTTTCATAATAAACAGTGTTTCAGAAAACTTCCAATTTATCTCTTGCAAAAACAGATCATATATAAATGTAACTGTCATTCTGAGAAACAGGACTGCATTATGCGACTGACTTAATACAGACTGAAAGCATGTTCCCCAAATCTTCTCCCAACAAATCTTGCCAAATGGATGTCTGAAACGTCCTACTAAAACAGGTGGTGTCTAAACAGAATTGGATTTTTGCCTATAGAAACCCTGGCTGTAACACTGCCATATATAGTTTTAATTTTCAGTTCTTAAAATTAACTGCTTGCCAACCATTCAGGAATAGACTGAACAACATGTTTAGACTTTACCCTGTTTAACTGAAAGAGAAGGTGAGAAGGAAAAGGAAGGACAAAAGGAGAAGGGGGGGAGGGAGGAGGGTGGGTGGTTCTCTATCATCATGCCATAAAGATCAACAAAAAAAAGCAGACCATTTAATCTCTAGGGGGAAAAGGGGGGAGCAGTTATAAAACAATTTCAGTTCTCAAAAGATGCTTGTCCTTTTGTGCTTTCTTCATAGAAGCACAAGGACGTAACTACCTTGCTGGACATAGTACATTATAGTACATTACTCTGATAGAAATTTAGAATTAAGAACAATGGTAACAATCACTAATTTTTCTAATGAAAACTTATCTCTTAAAAAAAGATATTGCAAACAGACCTGAAATTACTCTTTATACAAACAAAATACAAACACCTCGAATATAAACTCCTTAAAGAAAGATACCATAGGTTTTCTTGTTTAAATACAACAGGTCCATCAGTGTGCTGGTCATCCTAACTGACAGGAAACATGTCTTCTTAGAAATAAAGACTGAGTACCTGACACTGAGTAACAAAGCTTTCCTCTCTGCTCCTTTAAGTATTTGATACAAAGGCAGTTAAGCACTGTTTATCTTCTAAACCAGTACTGGGTAATATGTGCCATACATACTGTGATTACTCTTCCTTCTGAAGGGAATACTAGCAAGTCCATCACACAGCTGATGAGATTCAAAAAGATGCAAAAACTTTTCTAGGACAACCCAGATAGAAGATAATAGAGATGAGGTTTTTTTTAAAATCAGCCTGATTTCCGATCTTTACCAATTGCATCATACAGCTTCCTAATCAGAAATTCAGAGACAAGTTGAATGATCAGTTTGAGTTATATGACATTCAACAGCTAATCTATATCTTTGCTTTGCAAATACCCACAAGAAAAGCTCATTTATTTCTTGGAGCAATGGATACCGAAAGCTTTCCACACCATTTCTCAATGTGACTGCATTCGAGCTACTAAGAAGGCAGTGACTGAACAGAGAGAAAATCATCTATTGTAATCAAAACTCCTTAATCCTAATATCAGAACAGTCTGACCACTGCTGATCCAAAAGGAATCAATGAGTTCATTTTTTTTATAAATGGGAAATACAAAGAAATACCTCAGTGGAATGGAGAGTTGCTTCTCCATGGGGTATGCCTAATCCTTTTGTTTATAATTCTAGGACAAATACACGATATCAAGTCTTGCCCTTAAAAGTTTATTGTGCATGGGCCAGGGATTTAGCTCAGTGACACTGTGCCTGCCTCACTTGCCCAAGGTCCTGAGTTCAATCCCTGGCACCGGGGGGGAAAGAAAAAAAGAATCAAAAGTTTATTGCTCACACTGCCCTTCCCCTTTACAATCCAAAAATAAAATAAGATCTCAAAATAAAGAAAATCTCCCAAATAAGTATAAACATATAAATAGTAAGTATGCAATAAACACTAATCATTAATTTTATTAATATAATAATTTTTTTAAATAGCTCTCAAGTTGTTCCCTTCTACTCCTTGACCCTTATCCTGTTTTTTATTTTTTGGGGGGGTGGGGGTGTTTGTTTTTTTAATTAAGGTTTAACAGGGGTTAAGTTCTAAAGAAAACCCATAATTTCCCCAGCAAATTTCAATGATGTCTCTAATTTAGAGGAAATTATCTCCAGAGCCCTGTGAAAGAAATAATTCTGTATTTCAATAATCTCAGAAAATAATATTTAAATCCAAATGTACCTGTCCCATAAAGGTTTTTTTTTCCTTTTAAAGAAAAGTTATCCTCAACATTAAAAAGCTCTTCAATATATGAGCACAAGGTGCATTTCTTACAAGGGGAAAGTACACTAAGATTTCTTTGAGATTATTTAGAAAATAGTATGACATTATAAAAAGAAACTCAGTAGAAGAAAATAATTGTCATACAGGTATAGGTTCATAGAATAAAAAGTAGAAAAAAGATCTACAACTCTTCAAGAGTCTTCTGGCAAAAAGTTCCTTGAAATTATTTTCTCCTAAGAGCTGAAAAGTGCTTTTTTTTTTCTAAGATGCTGCAAGCTCTATAAACCACCTTTCGAATCTCTAGAAAAGCTGGTTTCAACTCTTAATAGTGCTATGTGCTTTTCGTTTAAAGGAAAAACAAAAAAGAGAGAGAGAACCATAGCCAACATCAAGTTTATTCCATTCACGGCTCAAGATATACATCATGATCACACCCAGGTACATATGAGGAAGAGTTCCATTTCTTTTTCCCCCCCTCCTTTAAAGTTAGAACAGATATATCTAACATCACCCATGTAATACTTAGGAATAAGGAACACAGAACCCCTCCAAAAATAAAAACTTATCTGAAGAGACATGATCATAAACAGAAGATTTCTGGCAAAATCAAAATGGCTCAAAAGTTAGTAACACTAAGATAGACCAAGACAGTAGTAATAACTCAAACATCCAGGTAAGCCAGAAATGTTTATAGCCTAGTTATTGTTAACATATCTAGAGAAGGTAACTTTAATCTTCCCATATGAAACAGAGAGAATCTACGGCATTACTATTATTCCAAATGAATTTTAAAAGTTTTATTTTACTACAAAATTCACTAGAATAGGTCTCTTGGAGAATTTAAATACATCAAATAACATGTACTTGGAATATTTCACATTTCAACTTAAAGTTGTCAAAACACAATCAACACATGATAGGAAAATATCTATGCTTCAAACAGCACTTTAAAAAACACCAGGGAGGAAAGTGAGGAGTTGAGGAGGAGCCTTCTGAAGTAAAGGCTGAGTGGAGCAAGAGACCAGCAACGGAGGAGAGGCTTTGTCAGATGCAGCTCTGCACCCCCACTATCACTGACTCTAGCCTTGCTTTCTGCTCGAAGCAGCCTTTTGGTACTCTGGTGATGAAGGGTTGTATTAAAAAGTTCTTATGCCATGTTTACTTTGCCCACAACATTTATCAGAAGCTTGCTGTGCTCAAGTCCCATAATTCATACAGTCCCATTATCTACCCCACAATATACCCTAGACATAATCAGAAGTGTAAAATGCCACCCTCATAAAAAGAAAATAATGAAGGCAACTAGGATTTAAAATGGACCAGGTGATTTTTTTTTTTTTTTTTAGTACTGGGGATCGAACTCGGGTCCTTACAATTGAGAGGCAGCGGAACCACTGAGCTAAATCCCCAGCCCCAGACCAGGTGATTGTTAAAAATATGGCCATAGGTAAACAGCATCAACACTGTGTTCTTGGTAACTATTAAAGATATAAAGTAGGGTTCCTTGTTAAACAGATTCTTTAATAAATATGTAAGTCATTAATTTTAAAATGAGTGTTTTAATTGTAAAATGGGCCTTACAAAAGCCCATTTCTTCACGAAGATGTACTTTCTCATTACTCTAAGTGGTAGCGGATTTCCAAAGCTGACCCACCAATATTTGTTTAACTTGTAACCTATTGGCATATGGCACAATGAGAAATGAAATATGATAAGTACTTGCAAAGCTTCAAACGCACATCAGCTGTTCAGCTGAAATGACAAGAGACTGGCAAAACAGGGTTTAAAAGATGGAGTTCATGAGCCAGGGATTTAGCTCAGTAGTTCCAGCGCCTGCCTCACAAGCACAGGGTCCCCAGTTTGATCCCCGGTACCAAAAAAAACAGATGGAGTTCACAAAATCCAACTGTTCACACAATTGTCCATGTGGGCAACTCTCATGACAAGGTCCACACCTTTCCTTGAGATTCTCAAAGTTCCTATCTCCATAAAGGGGAAAAACTTCTGTGCCATGAAGTCTATGGATGCTTACAGGAAATAAAAATTTCATGAATACAAAACTGTTCAAAAACCTTGCAGGAAAAAAAAATACCAAGTGAAGAGGATCCTAGAGTAAATAACATTTCAAAATGATAAAGGAAGTTTATCTAAAATGGGGCTGAAGGCCCCAGAGACACCTATTTTAAAGTAGATTTTGACCAATTTTGTACAATTGGCTTAGCTGCAAGAAAACATTCCAAATGTTCATATTTGTAAGAAACTCCATCTACAGTCTTCCCAATCTAGCCAAATCATAAGCCAAAAATTTATCACATCTTTTATCATCAAATATTATCACTGTTTTAAAAGAGAAATCTAAATTTTAACTACACACAACCCAAACTAAAATGTGTATTTAAAGACTCAAACATGTAATGAGTGAACATGCCTTTTCTTTTAATTATGACTAAGAAAATTTGGGCAGTAACTCCTTTTTAATATTTCTAACATGACTTTAAACTAATATAACAAAGTTCAGACATTGTTCTTTCTTAACTGAGGATGATTAATTGCTTACTTATTTTGGGCTTTTGTCAAAATAATTGAACTACATAGATCTAGGGATGTTCTACCCAACAATATAATTTAAGACAAATATCTATTTTAAAGTATCAGTTTGTCTACCTGTTCTCTTCAATTCCTGAGTCTAAATCATTAAGATGCTTCATCTCTTTTACCTCTCCCAAAATGTTATTACACTTTTTAACACACTGGCAAATTTTTTTTTTCCTTTTCGACAGAAAAGCTTTTTATAAAAGAGCACCACTTACCCCTCCTGCCTTCAGCAACTTTCTTCTAAAGTCCTCTGTGGGGTTATTGAAAGTGAGCTTCTCACAGCGGAGATGATTCACTGGTGGATGGCCTTCAAGATGCAGGAATAAGTCATAATCAAAGCGGACTTTCTTAGGTTCTTCCTGGAGATTAAAAAAGTTTAAGAAGGAAAAAAGTGAAACAGAACATTTTAAAACAAAGTTTAACCCTTATAAGGCACAGAAAAGATCTACACACTAAACAGCTGTAGCATCAAAGCAGTGCATTCCTTACTCTTCCCATCTTGCCCTCCACACCCAGCATCAAAGCACACCATTCTCTCTCCCCTAGCTTGAGTAAGCCCTCTAACTATTTGCTCCTACTCATTGCCCAAACCACTAATGCTGCCTCCTTGCCTAGGTCTTTCTACTTTAGGATATGTTCTCCTAAATTCCTCCATCACTCAGGATTCAAAATTATCTGTAAATTATCTGGTTACAATTTCAATGGCTTCCAATAGCCATTAGGATAAAATCTAATGCCACATGAATGCCATGTAAAGGCCTTCACAATCTGGCTCTTAGCTTCTAATTCTGCCATTCCCCTTGTTGCCTATCTGATGGTTCAACAGTATACTAGCGCTGACTGCTTCTCGGTATCTACCTACCACTCACTGTGTTTCACCATTGCTTTGCATTATGACCTTCACTGCCTACCTCCATTCCTTCATCTCCCTGCTTTACCTGAGTAACTTCTCCTTCCCTTCATGGAGATTTCACTTCAAGAGCATTCACTAAACTCTACCCCAGCTCCTCACCTGCTCTGCTTTGCTGTGTGTGCATCTCCCTCTCATTCCGGTCCAATCTCAGAATGACTCTCTTGATTATCTCCGTTTATCCTGATCTATCATAAGATTATTCAATGTAGTAAAAGTGTTGGAATTGTCATTAGTCTCTTAACAGTTTAGACTTAACATCAGTCACACAGTAGAAATGTAATGTCTCTGAGATAAATTCAGAATGGCATTTTCCTAGATACGGAATTAGTAGGGAAAAATAGCACCTTGCCCAAAAGAATACAATAATTAGAATTTCATGATGTCTAGGGTCAACTTTCAAGCCATTACTTTGGTTGGATAAATATGTATCCTTTTCTACATATGAATTTTCAGCCAGCCAAGGTGAAATGATAATAATAACCAGTACACACTGTGACCTTCACATTAGCTATCCTTTTTGACATTTGTGAGCTGTTTTATTGTTGTATTACCAATACATGGTAAACAAAATTATCTGAAACCAGTTCTTTCGACTCAAAAGTCTTAGCATCTAAATCCATCAGAATGTAGACATTAGCAACTACAAATTTGGGGTGTCTACCTATTTTACCAAGCTCCAATCCCAAATTCCTGTCTTCATTCACTTCCTCACCCACCTCTTCACTGCCAATATAGTCAGAGTGCAACATGCTCCTCCGCTCTCCAATCAGGGTGCCATCCATCCTCCCTGGGCTTCCTCACAGATAACTGGCCATTCCTTCCCAGTCTTTGTAGCCTTCTCTTCTGTCTCCATTGACCCTTAAATGGTATTTACATTTCTGCAAGGTTTCCCAAGAGACGATGCCCATTTAACAGTGACCCTTCTCAGTCAGTACCTCCCTCTCAGCTCTCACTGGCTGTCACCTGCAAGTGTTCCACAGGCTGACCCACAGCAGCACCAATTACATTAAACCTGTCTTAGCCTGTCTTTTATGCCTATACTTTATGTCTTAGAAGTAGCAATCCTGTTTTCCAAGGTTAAAACACATAAAAATCATCCTCCACTCTTCAGTCTCCCACACTCACCACAGTAAAACTTTCTCCAGTTCTATTTAGTATCCCTTTAGGAACTCTCAGATCTAACCCTATTCTCCAGCTATCATGACTACTGCTTTCACTTAGATCTTTACCTTTCCTCACCTCACATTCTTCTTGGTTTTGAACTTAACTCATTCTACTTCTCACAATGACAAGAGTGATTTTTTTTCTAACACAAAAATCAGATATATTTCCATTAATTAAAAAAGAACATTTAAAGGCCACTTTCTTGGAATAACCAGAATTGTCTTTTACCACTTTTCCTGTATTTCCTTTCTTCTCTTCTACACATTCTTCTCCAATATTTTTGAAGTACTTGCACTTCCTCAATACTTCTCATGATCTTATCTGTTGTCCAGTGGTGGTGAACCTCTGGCATGTATGCCGAAGCTGGTCATTTGTTATTATTGAAAGCTCTAAAAGGTTCTCCATCACTGATCTTGTCTTTCACAGGTAGTCTTCCCTATCCCTAGGACATCTTCCCCCTAGAAAATTCCCTTTATTTCCTGGTTAGTGCAAATGCATTATTCAAGACCCAACTTAAAGCATTAACTCCTCTGGAAAGTCTTCTTACCCATCCCAATATAATCAGAATTAGATGTCTCTCGTATAGCATTACTCTAGTAATGTAATTATCACACTGAATTATGAACATTTTTATCTTATCTCTGTCCTAAATTGTAAAACAATCAATGCAACCTTAGAAATAATTTAAAAGGAGGGCAGTTTTCTGCCTTGTAATTGGGAGTATAATTAGGAAAACTTTTTGTTAGACATTTTAGCAATATCCATCAACACACTAAATGCTAACAATGTTTGACCCAGTAATTCTATTCCTAAGAATCTCTTCAAATATGAATGCAAATGCTCATAGTAGCATTCTTTATAATAGGAAAACATTAAAAGTGATCTGCATTATTATCATGGTATACTATTCAGATGTTTAAAATTTCTGACTTGAGAAGGCACCTTGCTAAGTGAATGAAAGGCAAGTTACAGAAGAATATTAAAGTATCATGCCCTTGCTAACCTCTACACTGACATACGTAAACGCATGGAGGAAAATCTGAAAAAAGCAATACCAAATAGTTAACAATCACTAAAGGAAGTTGAGTTTTATTCCATACACTTTTACTAGAAGACACATATTTTACATATTGATGAATACAACTAATTACCAGCATAAAAAGAATGATGTAATAACATTACTTTATAGCCCTCAAAAGTTTAAAACAAGGGGCGGGGGATTTAGCTCAGTGGTTTCTCCGCCTGCCTCACAAGCGCAGGATCCCGAATTCAATCCCCGGTACCAAAAAAAAGTTTAAAACAAGAAAGTCATTATTTTTCAACCAAATTAAGGGTAAGGACCATACAGCATACCTCTTCATATGAGTCCCAAGTATAATTTTTTTAAGTTTTTTTTTTAAATAAGAAAATAGTACCCATTAACTATAGTGTTACCAACTGGATGTCTTCTCTCAGAGGAAAGACATTAATTAATATTATGTTAATCTACACTCCTCAGAAAAGATTCTTCAAAGTTCAAATAAAAAAGCATGTATTTGTCCTGTATAAAAACCAGTGTGCTTCCTAGAAGTGCAAACCTGGTTTTGGCACATCAAATTATCCCTCTCATGATGCAGAAGCTTCATCCATGACATTTACTTGTCTGCTTTTGCTGAGAACACACTGAAAGAGAGACACACAAGATCCTTTCCAGCCTGAAGCGCCACACATACAAAATGAGAAAGAATAAGCACACACAAGCTCAAGGCAAGTACTGACACTACCAGCCCTCTTGACAGTGGCAGCAGGTCAACTAGCAAGGAAAGCTGAAGACACTCTCATTAGAGAAGCAAGGCAAACTCACAGTCTAGGACAGGACCCAGAACAGACAACATGCTCAACATGTGTGTTAGAGTTCTTCCACCAACACAACTAGCTTTTTGGGCTGAATTCCCTCCTCTCCTAAGAAAACCCTGAACACTTTTTTGTGAACCATTACCGTAATGGATATTCACTCTTCAAGACAGAGTGGAGTTTGTAAACACCCATATAAATAAAATGATAAGTGCTCAAAAGAACATGCTGGAGCAAGAGCCTAGACCTACTAAATTTTTACCAAACAATCATTTCAGTCAGAAATGAAACAAGAAATATACCCAGTTGCTAACAAATAAACCAGACACAGAAGACAAGCTCTGCACGATTCTATTTCTAGGAGGTTTCTAAAATAGTCACATTCATCAAATTTTTAAAATAAAAGACTGGAGTAGTAGTTGCCAGGGGCCCAGGGGAGGAGGAAATTAGCACTTATTAAACAACAAGCATATGGTGAACAAACTCTAGTAATCTGTTGTGCAGCACTGTATCTACAGCCAACAGTAATGGACACAGAATTGGTTTAGTAGAGTTCATGTTGTGTTCTTACCACAGTAATGTTAAAATTTTTAAAAATACATTTAGTTCAAAGATCCAAATTAAAATACAGAAAAATTTAGTTTCCAAGACCCTCTAAGAGGATCAATAAGGGATAGCAAGATTTTTATTTTAAAAAATAACATATAGAAAAGTACATAAAATATGATACCTGTGTACTCTCCACTGAGATTTAACAGATGTTCTTTCATCAAACTCTTTAATTTAAAGAAATAGAATTTTATACATAAAAGCTTCTCCATCTCTCCTCTCCCAGTAATCAACGCTCTTCAGATCATGTGTTGTCATTCAAATACCAGCTCTTACATTACATGTGTGTTTCCGTAACATCGTTTACTCATTTCAATGCTTTTTAAAAACATACGTAAATGCATGTGCACAAATTGCATGTGCACATACTGACTTCTTCAACACTTAGGTCAGCAATATTCCTAAGCCACATTCATTAAGTACTGTGTGGTATTCTATATCATGAGGTTCATCACTTATTGATCCAAATCTCTACATATGGCCAATTAGGTCCACCCTAACATTTTATACTATAAACACTGAAATATGTATGTCTCACTGTTCACATATGAAAACAACAATCATTATTAAACATGGAATCTTAAAGAAAACCTAAAACTAGAAAACAAATAAATAATTTGGATTCTAAACAGAAAATCTACTTAATAGTGTTCAGTCTGTATCTATTTTATAGTGTCCCCAAAGCAATATACAGCTTCCCATTTTATGTGCCTCTTCCTTCATATTTAAAAAACTAAAACCTTTCATAAAATTTACGTCTTAGTCATAAGACTAATTGCCCTAGGTTCCTTCACTATAACTTGCTTTTTACCTTGTTTCGTTACTTTCAAGACTGAAGTG